ATGTAGTTCTTACTATGTGCCAAGTAGCATTTCAAGTGCTTTATAAACAATAATTCATTGACTTATCATAGTGAATTTATGTGATAGGTGCTATTATTATCATCCTCATTTTGCAGGAAACTGTGGTGCACATCATTTAAGCAACTTGCTCAGGGCCACTCAGCCCGTGTGTGGCAGAGTCGATATTTGCTCCTGGGTCTCAGATTCAGGTTCTATGCTCCTAATGCTACGAAAGCTGCCAGGCCAGTTCCTTGCAAGGCATCACAAAGATGCAAAAATGGGTAGTTGAAGAACACTAGAATTGCTCTCCTATCTGTGGATCTTAAGTGATACAGTGAGCAACAGAATTCTTATTCATGTTGTTTCATCAAAGGAATTTAGGGTATTTTATCCATTTCAAAATTTTTGAATAAAAGATGCTACCCTTATTTATTTCTGAGAATGGATATACTACACTATCATCAAACTAGTTTTCGCTGTATAATCTGTTCCTGAACAGAATGAATCAATAACTGGACTTATTTCCAGCTTATGAAATGAATATTTAAACAGCACTATTTCTGGTCATGTCATTTTCAAGGATTTTGGTTCCATCCAACTCAAATATTCTTTCCCAGAAATCTCAGGATTGTATATTCTTCCTCACCAGTTTGTGCTATAAACAGTGCCTCTCCAGAGTGGGTTCCAAAAAGCAAGCACCACACAGGTTAGCAGAAAGTCTGCTTCTCCCCTTCCTCTCCTTTCTCTGGTATTTGCATCCACTAACGGTTCCAGCATCTCCCTTCAAGCAGGGGAGGAAGGGAACATGGTATTTTTTTCTGTCTTAAGTTGAAATTGGAAAGCTCTGCACCTACTACCCAAAACCTTGGTTGTTTTTGATGACACCCTCTGTAGCCACTCCACTATCCAGAGGCTTAGGGTTGAAGCCCGAAACCACAGCCCAGGGATGCCTCCTTCATAGGGGATGACAGCAGCGGAAGGGACAACTCCCTAATCTGGGCCATCAACCTCTCTGGACCATAGACTCCTGCTTTCTTTGCCTCCCTTCTCACCAGAAGCCAGAAGACTTTACCTGGAAAATGTCCCCCATGAAACTTGGGAAGACATACCTCAAGCTCAGTGTCCTGGCCTGTTCTTGTCCTAGGTTGGACCCCAGCCCGGGCTGCTGAGGACCTGACTTTTCTCCTCAATCCAGGGAGCCAAGAGCTCCTCACTAAACATGATACTTCTAGCCTCACTTCTATGGGCATTTCCTCCCTGGACACCTTCCTGTCCCCCTGCAAAAGTGACTAGTTCCTCTGCAGCACCCTGGGCCTGGTGTGCCTGGAGGGAAGCCACACCCTGTCTGCCCATAGCTGGGGATGGGGCCTAGTTCAGTCATAGCACTCTGTGCCCTGGCACTGTGAGCGTGGGGCAGTTCTCAGCAGAATGATGGTGGTGATGTTGGTGATGGTGGTGAGTCACCATTCAGTGAGTATTTCTCATGCACATAATCAGCACTCTATGAATGGCCCAGCAATTCACATGCTAATTGTATGGGTTTTAAATATACCTCCTATCCCCACATTTTAGGGGGTTAAGGACTATTCTTACCTTCGTTTTACGAACTTTGAAACTGAGTCTGAATGTAACTTGCCCAAGGCCATACAGCCCATATGGATCAGATCTCTAAGGTTCAAGTTATGAGTCTCAAGTGTCACTTTCAGGCTTGGATTAATGACCCTGAAAGTACCCACCACATGACTACATGTAAGCAATGCCTAAAAAATATCTTGTAGGTGATGCTTCATTTCAAAGCTTCCTTCCTTCCTGCATTTCTTCCTTCTGTCCTTTCTGCTTTCCAGTTTGCCTGCCTTCCTCCCATCAATCAGCCTTCATCCAGCCTGCCACAGGCCAGGCTCTAGGCTGTGCTCTGGCCTGTGGAATGAGACCCAGGCCAGGCCCAGACTGCCAAAGGTCTGAGAGCAGAACCCAGGCATGCATATAGGTTTCCATGAGAAGCCCTGAGTCTCGCCTGCTTGTAGGAGGGGAGCGGGGGTGGGGCCCCACACAACATGCTCTGCTTGCTCCTGGTGCACAGGAAGGTGTTGCCGTGTTCCATCCAGGCAGGAAACTGAAGGGGCTGAACTCCTACTGCCCTGACGGTCAGGGCAGACTCACTCAACTCTCCTGTTTTCCTTCCCCAAAGATCCATTTTTAAAGAGAGAAAAAATAAATCTACGTTTTGAACTTAATTAGATATATGATCTCAATTTCTCTGATTCTAGTTTATTTATTAAAAAAAGAAAAGGAGGAAAGGGAGGGATAACAATAGCTGCCCTAGTTACCTGGCAGAAACGCTATAGGATCAAATAAAGTTATAATGCAGGCACAACCAGATGAAATATTATGTAATGGGAGGGCTTTGTATATTCTTAGCGTGGAATTTGAAGCTCTGAGCAATGACACCTATGCACCTTTCCCCTCCACAGGTGTCCACAAACATGCTTCTGGGTTCCAGCTATAAGTACAGAGTTTTGCCTTGAGGTGCTGCCTCAACTCACCTGCCTCCTTGCTTTTGCTTACACACCTTCCACAGCCTGGAATACCTTCTCCCCACTGCTCCCCACTGCCTGTTGACTTGCTTCCTTGCTCAAAAGTCTAAAATAGTTACTCTGTTCTAAAACAGTGTCCTTTTCCTCATTTGCACCATTGAAAGTTGTGTATTTCTGGCAAAACCGCACTCAGCACCATGGCTAGAGCTACTAGTTTTTATCTCTAAGGCTCCTCTGCCTAGGTATGCCTTGCATCTGTCCAATAAAAGGTTTGTTGACTCAAATTCGGCTTCTCTTCTGTATACCCTTCCCTGTCTGCCCCAACACCCTGCATGTAATGCACCACCTGGCATGCAGCAGGTATGAGTGCAATCTTCCTGAGGAGATTTAGGGATGGTAAATTCAGTGGATGAGTCTCTGTAGGTCAAGAAGAATTAAGCTTTCCCCTTCAGTTAAGTCAACATCACAGGGAGGGCCTGAAGCTTGTCTGTACTGTGTTGGGTGGGGATCAGAGCCCAGGGAGAGAATGTCTCCCAAAATGCAGAAGTACAAAATGCAGAAACTAACAGAAGCACCCAGATGAGTTTAGATGACACACAGGTAAACTTTTAAAAAAATTAATAATTATAGTATCTCAGATTTATTAAAAAGAAATATAATTACCATATCAAACCTATGTTTCATAAATGTTCTTTAATACAAGTTCTTGCATTTGAATAAAAGGAGTCGATTTAAAGGAAAACACTATGTAAACAATGGTGCAGGACATGGCTCAGTGATGGGAGGGTGGCTGGGGAAGCATCTGGACAGAGGAAATCCCTCCGGGAGGTGGGGAGGGGGGTGAAGAGGCACGTTCTGTGGGTTAGGTCTGTGGGGAACAGCCTCAGGAATTAACAGAATTGTTTATAAAACTATAACTGGGCAAAAACCTTTGTTTTAAAGGCAGAATGCAAACGCAGTATTTTCTCATTGCTGTTGTTTCTTCATTGAAGTGAAAAAATACGCTGTTGAATGTCAACTTTCATCTAGCCTTGCAGCTTGGGCACCAAGTTTCTAATAGCCAGGGGGTTCTGCACTCTCTCCCAGGACCCTCAGATACAAAGGACCCAAACATGAACTTGCTATTTTTTTTTCTGCAAAGCACAACCCTTTACCAAAAGAAGAACACTTCAAAGGCAACTGTTTTCTGTATACATCTCAGGGCTGCATTTGAGATCAACATTCGTCTTCCTTATCCAATTACATGATCAAAGCCACTCGACTTTAGGGGTTTAAAAAATCCAGGGAAAAACTAGGAACATTTAAAACTACCTTTTTTTATGCCACACATCTTCCTTTGGGAGAATTGGAATCCACTCCCCCCATTCTCTTAACTACTCTCCAGACACAAAAAGTAAGGTCAGAGAGTTAGCCTGCTTCAATCGCCCACGTCATGATTGTATCTCTGTACAATCCAATCTAATCTCAAGTCAGCATGTCTAGTGTACTTCTCTCCGCACTGCTCCCAAGTCCCTTCCAGCATCCATTGAGAAACTCTTGATGTTTTTCTCATTAGTTTTAAAGGCCTCTTATTAATATTAAAACTGAAAAAAAAAGCCTGCAATGTTATTTCATCAGGATCCCCAAACTAGTGGCTCTAACACATCTGTTCATTTTAATGCTGTAACATGGAGTTTGTGTTTCCTAAAATAGGGCATATCTTGTCCTTCATATTCTCATTCTGGGGTTTGAGGCTCTGGTGAAAAAAAAAAGAACAAATATGACATCCTTAAAAATATTTAAGTGAACAGACTGCCTATTGGTGGACTGATTTTTCTCTATAGAAATAAATCTGCTGGCAGCCACCAGAATGATGTATAAAAGATGACCTCGGGCAGCTGCTGCCATTCGTTTCTATGGGAAAATGAGGGGTTTGTTTCTCCCCAGGGGTTCATCCTGTGAGGCTCTTGCCCGGCCTGCTGTTTCGGAAGGGTTACACTGGAGCGGAGGAGTGCTTTGTGGTTTGTAACAATATCACAGCAGAATATTTTGTGCACGCTGTGATTTTATCACCCATTTGTGCACAGGCCATAAAAGTGCACTTTTTATCAGGAACATTTGTGAATATATAACAGTACTGAAGACATATGGCTACTAAATAATTCACAGTTATCTATATCTCAGCAGATTCCTTATACACCTACCATGCTTTAATGCCTAGTTTGCTCTGAAACAATATTCTTTATGACCCTTCCAATATAAAAATGTTTACTGACTAGCAGCAGTATGTGGGTGCTGAGGAAAGAGAAAGTTTTTTGCTTTCTCCACCTCTACCTGTCCTCCTTCGTTTCCCCTGAACTCCTTTATCGGCACCTAACCTGATAAGAGAAGGTGCCCTTTTCAAAAGTGGGTGCTAAATTCAGACTTCTGGTACTTGGGCAGTAAGATGGAAATCACTGACTAACCTTCACTCTCTTCTCTTTGCAGTTCTATATCCATTTACAGTCCCAAGGAGAATCCCAATGCCTTTGATGCTGCTGCATTCTTCCAGTCCGTGGGGAATTTCCTGGGGATCTTCGCAGGCTCATTTGCAATGGGGTCTGCGTATGCTGTTGTCACAGCACTGATATCCTTTGTGTGTGAGAAGCTGGGGACTGTTAAGAGCAATGTCTTTGGAATGTTTCTGAAAATGGGCAACCTCCAGGCCTGGAAATGGCCAGTCTGGTTCAAGGATGGTGCAATGCCACTGGGGCCATCTGAGTCATCTTTCAGCCATAGTTGGTACCAGTGGCAGGGGGGCCCAGGCAGTTGTCTGGTCCAAGGCCAGTTTTAGCCCTACTGACACTGTTTGATCACAGGATACTAACTGTCTTAAAAAATCACTACCTCAGAAAATAGTAGGCAGTGGGAACCAGGATTGGCTGGTTAGGGTCAAGAGGGACAACTGAAGATTCAAGGTCTAGAACAAGTCAATGGTAAACTAGGTATCCATATCCTCCACTACATTCTTAAGCATGCGTCAATCACTAGCTCAAAGATCACTGTGGGTTTAAATAAGCATCTATAACTATTTTAGGGAAAGAGACAGTAAGCAAGGAAGAAATGAAGTTTCCAGAAATGATGATCTGGCAGTTGTGTCATGTCATTCCCTCTTGCAGCAGAAAGGTTGGAGGATTAGTAGAGTTCTTAGAGGATTTGAGCCAGGGAATGATGCCGGTGTGGTGGGCTGTTCACTCTGAGTGCTTGGGTGGTGCCAAAATAAGTCAAAGTTGATAAGGAAATCCAGGAGGCCGATGACAAGTATGAGAGTCGAATGAAGGCCACAGGGAAGATGCAGAGCAAAAGATAACTGAAGACCTTGAAGAAAAGAGTAGGAATGAAAGGTGTGAGATGGGTCTGGGCCCCAGACACAGAAAAAATATGTTGGGGTCTTTTCCTGTGGGGACTGACCATCTACTAAAAGGTTAGGTTCTACTAAGGGTTTCTAAGATATCAGTAAACCATGTTTTGAAATATGAGTAAAACATGGACCCTGCCTTCAACTAGTGACAAGCTTGGAAAAATAAACTCTACATAATAGCTGGATAGAAACTGAGAGCCAAAGCCACAGCCAACTTATTAGGACTATTTCAACTTATCATTGAAATGAGGATGAGGACAGTGTGTCTGGAATAGCTCAGTCGACTCTTGGCCAATCTCATGATCCTGGAAAGTAATTTAAAGAACAGTATTTACATGCAAGGTTAAATGGGCTTGGGCTGGTAGAATATAGGCAAAGGCTACATGGTAAGTGATTAAGAGGAGTGGTCATGGGACGCAGGGGGCACACAGTGCATGTGCCTGGGGTGACCAAAGGGTTTGGGCTGATGAGCAATGGAAAATGAGAGGGAACAGTGGGATAGAATCAGTTTGTGGAGTATCTGGGAGTGTTACTCCAAGGAGATCCTGCTCAGGACAGTGATGAAATGAAAGTCCTGTTTTTAAACATAAATTAATAACATGTGGGATGAACAGAGGAGGAGGATTAGAATCCAGGAAACTGTGATGATAACTCTGGGGAAACATCAAGAAGGAGAAATATTCAAATAACTTCTAGAACTTAGTGGTTAGTTTGTTATAAGAGATAAATAAGAGGAGAGAATCCAAGTTTACTCCTAAGTTTTGTCCTGCAAACCCTGGAACATGTCAAATCCATTGACAGAAATAAAGTCAGTCAGAAAGGTAGGGCTGATTTCTCACAAAGATACTGATTAATAATCTACCAACTATTTACAATATGTCAGAACCCCTATATTTGTTTTACATGCAATACTTCATTTGACCTTCACAGTAATCAGATCATGCAGATGGTATTTTTATTGGACACTGACATTTAGAAAATGTAAACTATTGTTCAAGGTCATGCAGCTAGTAGGTAGAGCCAAGATTCAAACCTAGGGAGTAAAACCAAGAGACAGGCTGTGCTCCTGATCACTACTCCCTATTTCCTCTTAATTATTATTATTTTTTAAAGATTTTATTTATTTATTTTTAGAGAGGAGAAGGGAAGGAGAAAGAGAGGGAGAGAAACATCAATGTGTGGTTGCCTCTCACATGACCCTTACTGGGCACCTGGCCTGCAACCCAGACATGTGCCCCAGACTGGGAATCCAACTGGCGACCCCCTGATTCTCAGGCTGGCACATTGAGCCACACCAGCCATGGCTGCCTCTTAATTATCAAGTGGAACTATAATGGAGGTCACAGGTTTAGAGTAATAGTAATGATGATAACATTTAGTAAATGTCAGCTTTTGCCAGCACCTTTATATACATCTTCTCATTTGAATCAACCCTGTAAAACAGGATATAATTAACCTCACTTTAATATGGGGAAACTCAGGTCACAGAGTTTAAGTAGCTCAGTCTGGGCCATATATCAGTAATAATTAACACAATAATAATAATATCTAACGTTTGTTGCGAATACCACCATGTGCCCGCCATTGTCCTTACCATTGTGCGTGGACTATCTCAGACAGTTTGTATGATAATCCTAAGAGGAAGACAGTGTTATCTTCCCAAGTTTACAGCTGAGAAAACAGACTCATAAAGGTTAAATGACTTGTCTGTGGCCACACAGCTAGGACATTTCCAGGTCAGCATTTAAACCCAGGCCTTTGACTCCAGAGCCTGCTCTAGGTGGAAAAACTGAAGTTGAAGCTCTTCTCTGCCTGATATGAAGGGAATGTGTGGACACATAAGTAAATGAGTTGATAAGGAAAGGGAAAAAATTCCTGGAGATTGAAAGTCTGCCATGAAATTGGATCAGATCTGAACAAAAAGGTGGAGATACAGAAGAGATGGCAGCTCAGGCACTGTGGCATGATCAGTCATGCAGGACCCGGTGGCCTTGGCTCTCACAGACTCAGGCTGGGTAGCAGATAGGTCCACAGGTGTTCCCTCCCCTGTGATGACCTCAAAGCCTTCCCACAATAAGCAAAGGCCCCTGGGCTTTGTACAAGCTTTGGGCTTTGCCTGAAAACTGAGCTGCTTTCTGGAAGAGGTTATAAGAAAAAAATGCCCTATGCCCACCCGATACCCTGTCAAACTAGGAGAGGGAGTTAGAGGAACAAGCTCCGCCAGCAACAAGAGGACATGCAGGAAAACGGTCAAAGGGCAGCCCATGTTTCCCCCCACTTAGGAATTACTTCCAGATCCTTACTGAATCTATTTCCAGGGAAGTTTTGTGGGGGGGGGGGGGGGTTTCCCCCCACAAAGCAAGTTAATTTAAATCATACGAATAGAAAAACTTGCATATCCCTTGTTGCATACCAGGCACACTCTTCTGAGCGCTTAACATACAGTAACTGGTTTATACACCTAGGAGGTAGGTCGAGTCATTATTCCCTCCTTTACTCAGGGAAGCCAAGGCACGGCGTGGCCACAAGACATGCTTGAACAGATGCCGCAAATCTGAACCCGGAGGCCACGGTCTCAATCGAGACATATTCTGCCTCTTCTTGGCACATTGTGCTTTCTAATACTTTATAAAACATTTTAAATAAATTTCATCTTGTTTTACTCTTCACCCTGGTGTGAGCAGGAATTATTCTCCTAGACCATTCACATGGGATAGAGTATCACGTGACAGAGAGGTTAATGTATTACTCAGAAGTCTGCCACCCAGTGACTAGCAGAGCCAAGACATGAACCTGGACCTTCTACCCCAATGTCATCGTTTTTGCTTCCCTACCCTGTTGCCAAACACTTCTTAATGGACTCTTCTTTAGATTTTTTTTCTAGAGGCATAAAAATGCAACATTCCATTTCCTTATTTGTCAGAGTGCTTTTGCCTAATCATGGGCACAATTGCTTGTAACCCTTTCCCACTGATCACCCCTAATCACTCTCCATAACCCCTTCTCTGTATGACTTGGATCACTGTGCCTTTGCTCTATTTACAATTTGTAGGCTATTGACCAAGTGTCATCCTGGCCAAAAAAGAAAAAAATTGCCTGCAAAAGGGCTTCTTGTTTGACCCTAGAAATAATATACATTTTCCTTCATCCTGCTTATACCAAGGGTACATGGTCAGCTTGCCTATCTGAATCTAATGCTTCTCCAGATCCTCTTTCCCTCCCCAGGACAGAGGAGTGTTCAAGGTGATCTGTCACAGACTAGCACCGCCCCCACCCCCACCCAGGGAGCAGTGGCCTTCTTGGTGCTGACGCACCTGCAGCATCTCATTCACCCACACTTTGGGGCTTTTTCCTGGGTCTGCTACAGTCTCCTGAGGGACACACCTCAAGGCTCAAGGCCAAATTCAAGAGGTTTTATACCCACAGTTAGCTGATTTTATCCTCTAGGTAAGACGCTTTACAAAACACCTGAACACGGGTTTGTGTTTTCCCCAGAGTATCCAGGCCCCGGTGAAGCGTGAAACTCACGCTGGCCGTCACAGTCATCCCAGTGAGAGTGCAGCCATCCAGCCAGGCCTGAAAACCAGTTCCCTGGCTCTGGAACTGTCACAACCACATCAGTGTTCCTCAGCCAAGAAGGGGATTTAGCTGTAAAAGCAGCTGTTGTTTCCCTTAACTTATCTTCATCACTTGACCAAATTCACCAAACTGTGTGAGTTCCCTCTGCTGGAAACAGGCCTGTTTTTCCTGCTGTCTTGGAGCGCCTTCCTGTCTGCCGAGGCCGCCGGCCTAACAGGTCAGTGCTTCATTCTGCACAGGTGGGTGTCCGAATCAGCCCCTCCTGGGTACTCTGGGGATTAAAAAAGAATAATTCATCCATTTTGTACATAACAGCTGAACTGAAAATCTCCAAAATGCCATTCCTTCTCTCCTTGCTGCTCAGGAGGGGATGTTGCAGTCTATCAATGACTAATTGATAGAGGTGATGAGTACCTTCACAAATAGCTGTTGACAGCAAGCACCCATAGAAGCAGCCTCCCTTGGGTATGCACATCTCCATGCACACAGTGCTTACAGTCTTTGTGCACATTTTGTGGCAGCCAGAAAACAGAACTAATGTGGAGGCTCTACAGCTGAATGACCCCTCTATATAGAGTCCTCTGAGATGGAACAGTTGATAGAGAAAGGGGCAGTCCTTAGGGTCTCCAGGGCCATGGATCCTGCAATCTGGATTCAACATGTAGATTGGCTTTCTGCAGTAGGGAGGGTTTGCACTGGGGTTGCCACAGCGTTTGGGTGCTTTTCCATGTAAAAGCATCACTGTGGCTCCTGGCAAAATGTCAAAGCTGTGTCTCCTTTCCCTGTTTTCCTGCTTCTCCTGGGTTCCAGTCCCAGGTCCTTGATGCTCAGCCACGTTTTAACTGACATTCAAGTGGTGAAAATCTCTCTTAAAGTGTTACCTGGTAACAGTGTACCTCTCTAGGGTAATTTGCATTTTAATAGGTGGTACTTTAAACCTAAAATAATAAAAGTTGACTTACATTGAAAGTGAACTATGCTACAGGTGCTGGCTAACTGCCTTTTATGAATGTTCTCATTAATTTACAGAAAGATTCAAAGTTAGGAACTGTACCTAGTGTACTCAGCCAACAGTAAGTGCTAGAGCTGGGATGTAAAATGTGGAGATTTAATTCCAGAGGCTGGGCTTGTGGGCACCAAGCATCATTACCTTGAATGAAATTTCACCTGTGAAGTAGGAGGCAGGCTCCTAAGAATAGGAAAATATTTGGGCCCCAGAAGCCTGCCTGGTTGGTACTCTTGCTCCTAGGCTGTTTTGGGCTGTCCTTTGAACATGAACTTTTTGGCAAATCTTTTTTGTAATAGTATCTATCCTGGTGCTCTGGGCAGCTGACCCAACTTACTGCAGAGCCACAGGGACCAAGCTACTCCCTCAGGCTTTGAGGTTGTCTGTCACTGATACAGAAAGCCACCCTGCCAGTCATAAGCTTATGTCACTATAACCAGGGCTATGTTACCAGAGTCCACCCTGCTGAGCCCTTGTATCCAAATCATTCCAACACAACCTCTGTTACGTTAGTGCCTTACTAATTAACAGGGAGGCTGCTGAAGAGCTTAAGCATTCCCCAGAGAAGACCACTGGTGTCCCTTCAATGAAATAGTGGAGGTGAGCAATGCATATTCATCAGTTGCTTTTCTTCACATTCTATCACTTACCATGTTGTAAAATGATGTTAGCAATATAAAAAATAAGAATACATATTTGACCCATCTGGAAGATAAAGAAGCATCTTAACTTACTTGATATTTTTTAGCCTACTGTTGTACCTTGTAATAAACACATACACACACACATACACATATACACATGCAGGAATGGTTTGTTTTTGTGTATGAAAAATTGTCTATTTCCTGGTCCATTTCAGCAAGATTTTGTTCTATTAATTACTTTAAAGGTGATGGTCCATGTTTGAGGGGAGACCCCCAAACTGGAATTTATTTATTAAAAATTGTGTATTTATTCTTACATCTTTAAACTTTAGTCACCTTCAAAGTACTCTCCATTTGATGCACTACACCTATTAAGACTTTTTTTCCACTCCTCAAAACAGTTTTGAACTCATCGATTTTGATACCTTTTAGTGCTTCTGCTGTATTTTTGTTTCAACTCTTCCACAAGAGCAAAACATTTCCCTTTAAGGACATTTTTCATCTGGGGAAACAAAAAAAAATGGTTGCTTGGGGCGAGATCCTGTGAATAGGGAGGCTGGGGCATGGGGCCATGCTGTTTTTGGTCAAACACTGCTGGACAGTCAGTGTGTGGGGTGGGCATGCTCATTTTAGGTGGCCAAAAAGTCTGTTTAGTTTTTTCTGTAAAATAAAAGACACATTTTTCATCTTCACCAATAATTTGATTGATTTGGATATTTTGAGTATGTCAGCGGCTATCCCTCCTGCTACTGGCTTCCAGTGGGCAGAGGCCAGCCTTACTGCTAAACATCTTCCAATGCATAAGACAGGCCCACAGCAAAGAACGATTTGGCCAAATAGTACCAAGAGACTTTGCAAATTTTTGCATTTTTGACATGTTTGATCAGTCACAGCACCTTCTCCATACACTGCACAAATCTTTTTCTTTTTGTGTTTCATTGCGTTTTTACCTTTCTTAAAATAATAAAGCAAAATATATGAAAAATGTTGCATATCTTCTTCCATCTTCAACATTAAAATGGCTACACAAAAATTCACCAATTTTGCCCTGGCAGGTGTGGCTCAGTGGATTGAGCACTGGCCTGTGAATCAAAGGGTCACTGGTTTAATTCCCAATCAGGGCACATGCCTGAGTTGCAGGCCAGGTTTCCCAGTGCAGGGCATGCAAGAGGCAACCGCACATTGATATTTCTCTCCTTCTTTTTCTCCCTCCCTTCCCCTCTGTCTAAAAATAAATAAATAAAATATTTTTTAAAATTCACCAATTTTGATAAGTTCTTTTATTGCATGCTGGTATGACAACTGTCACAATACAATCTAATGAAATTATTTCAAATGAAGTTAAAGACATCCAAGCACTACTAGAGCCATTGTACAGAAAAGTACTAAACAAACTCTTTTGGCCAACCCAATAAATCACTCATCATGAAATGACCAAACGCATTGAGATAGTCTTCAAAAAAAATTCACTGAAGCTGAATGCAGACTCTCACAACAATGCCAGCTGGTACACTGATGTAGATGGGTTCCTAGAACACTCACTTAGCCGGGGAAGCCTGTACTACAAGGGGATTGCCATACAGAAGATCATTCCAGGTGTTTTGGGTTCCTCCTAGTATATCTGCATCTTGCTCTTTGACACTTTTTAACATGTTATCCTTAAGAATGCCACAGAGACGATCTCTTAGGAATTAGCGTGATGGGATGGATGGGTGCAGGTGTGGTCCTAAGTAGCAGAAAGACCCAAAGGTCCATGGCTACACCCAGGGGCACACTCAGTGCAGAGCAGTGCTTCAGATTAAGCAACATGCCTTGTAGGCATTGAATACAAACCAGTCTAAGTGTGAGCATTTTCTACAACTAAAGACCAGGCCTGCTTAGTCCAAATTATGTGTGTGTTTCTTTATTAATCCTATCTTATTTCCAAATTGGATTTTCGATAACTTATAACATGTATATCATGGGACCATTTAGTTCAGGATACACACTCAAATGCTTTGGGATAGTTTTTCTGCAAAATTAGGCAGCTGTTCATTGCTGTGGTTTACCCATAAATATAATCCCGAGCTTTCTGGCAGCCAAGCCAAAAGGAAAACATGAGTTAAACAGGAAAAATACATCATTATGAAAGGATATCATATTTATTTATAAAAAGTGGGCAAACTATTTTTTGGTACTAAAATTTTAGGGGAATTTATTACATACTTCTTTCTATAAGGGCCTTTCAACACCCCAATGGACAGTATATTTAATAATAGTTTTCAGGGAAGATGGAAATCTATTCCTCATGGAGTCATTTCCATATCAGCCTTCAATAAACTCTGAAAGTGTGGTATCAAATTAAATTCTCTAAGGGTACTTAAGGTAATGATAAAAATTCTTCTACTTCTAATCTAGAAGTAAACTAATACCATGCAAAGTTAAAATCTAAAAAACTTTTTTCTAAAGTGCTTAACAAATGAATATATGACAAGGACTACAGTGACCTAAATGGAATGAGCTATCACAGAGTTTATGAGTAGCTGAGCGGTGTGACCAGTGAACGTGAGGCCTTGTACGGGCTCACTAACAGCACATCATGTAGGCCCTAGGAATAGGGTTCACCAGCAGTGGTTTTTCAACAGAATCCCCAGGCCTGTCATTTCAAAGTGGCTGCTCAATGGTGTCTACCAAGTAAAGAGCACTCTAGGTGCCTGACTTCTCCTCTGTATTGGTTCCACAAATTGGGTTTCACTTAAGATTTCACTTTAGAAAGGATTTCTTTTTCTTTTAGCAAAATATATCTGCTTTTAAAAACATTTTTAAAAACTTTTCTCTTATGACCAAAGTAGACCACATACAGAGTGGGGGAAAAGGAGGTTTACAGTTGTGAGTACATGAAACACAGGGTTTATTCTTGTCTTATTGTTTATTAATTATTGTATTATATTTCCACAGGCACAACTGTAAACCTACTTTTGCTTCACCTTGTACATTGTAGAAAATACAAGTTCATAGAAGGAAATAAAATTAGAATTACATGTGTTGTTACTGCCAATTAACAACTATTGTTAATAGTGGTCTGGGTCCATCTAACTTTATGCATGTACATATACTTGATTAAATTTATCCATGCATATATTGTTTATTTTTCAGTAAGTTGTTTTCTCCACTTAACATTTTATAGTGAATGTTTCTCATAACATCAAATGTTCTTCTATATTGTCATTTTTAATGGCTACCTACTGTACCATATCAACTTCCATAATTTATTATACCAACCTTTCACTTATTTGTAATTTTCAATATTATTAATATAATTGCAATGGTAACCCTTATAGATTGATGTTTGGATTTCTATTTATATAACTGCCAAAAATACCACTGCTGGGTTAATAAGAAGGCTAAAATTTTAATGTCTTGGAAAAATTCATCCAAATTATCCTCTGAAAAATTTGTCCTTTTGTTTTTTATCAACAATGTGAGAGTTTATTCACTCCCATCTCTACCACCCTAAATCTTACTCGTTCCTGCTAACTCGATAATCAAGTTCCATTTTATTCTGATGTAAATTTATTATATTTTTAC